GAGTTTTCAGACATTTGAGCAAAGTGTCGGAGTGTAAATTGTTTTTTGTAAAGAAAGAAAAATGGGATTTATGTATTCGACTATGTCTAGAGATTTTCTATTTAAATTTGCTGTTAGAATTAACAATTATTTAAGTGAAGTTAGTGAGGATTTATCGGGCTTTACTCCCAAGGAACCTTACCATAGAGGTTTCATTAGGCAGGTCTCAGAGGCCTCGGGGTTTTTAAAGTCAATCGTAATAGATATATCCATAGACGAGGATTAGCGTTCTCGCACTTGCGCAAAATAGAAAGAATAAAAACTTCACTGAAATTTTATTTTTTTATCCGACTACTGCGAAACGAAAAGAAGGATTATGGTTTTAGCCGGCATGTGAATATGTAAGAACGTTCATCTATTCCTTTATAACTTCGAAACTACTTATCGTAACTGGACAAATGAGGTATCATTAGAAGCGTCTTGATTATCCACGTGCTATAGGCTATGTGACGTTACATTAAATTGGCAACAGCGCCCTCTGGAGAGCATAAAGTAAGAAACTAAAAAATATATATTATTCAATCATTCCGTGTAGGGTATCAAATGAAAGGGCTTAATGAGCACATTTCAAATATATGCTATTATAATATAGCTATTGCTATAAAATAAATATCTTGTTTCAATCTTTTTAGAGCGTGATTTAGCTGTAGTCGGGTTTTAATTTTAAACTTATTTTTATCTTAATGAACTAGACATAGGTACTCTGAATTGTAATGTTACAGTTTCGCGCCAAGAACTGAGATGGGTAAATTTTATTTAGCACACCTGCGCGTCGTTATTTTAGCATAATGTCCCGTCCTTGTGCTAACTATAGTTTTGTTAGGGTTGCAACTGAATGCAACACGGTTTATTTTACATACATCAATAAACATCAATTTATACTAACACTAGTTGTTCCTGCGACTTCTCATGCGAAAATTATAGCCTATGTCAACCCCGTATAACGTAGCTATTCGTAGGTGAAATAATTTTTTAAATCTGTCCAGTAGTTTCGGAGACTCTTCGTTGCATACAAACAAATAAACAATCAAATTTCATTTCGTCTTTATAATATTAGTATAGAAGTATAGACTAGGTCCAGCCACGCTTTGCTGTGGCTCATGGAGGCAAATAATTGAGATAAAAACTGGCATATCTTTTAAGTTAGACCAAATTAAAGATACATATGGAATTCTACTGAACAGTATTTAATCGAACCTACTCTTTTGGAATTTATTAATGACATACACAGTGACACGAGTTTTTTTATATCGTATTAATATTATAAATGTGAAAGTTTCTTTGTTTGGATGTTTGTCCGTCAATCACGCCGAAACTACTGAACGGATTTTGATGAAATTTGGTATACAGATAGGGTATTAGCTGACTTAGATAATAGGATACTTTTATTTACTTTTTATCCCATTACACATTTCCTTAGAGTCCACGCGGGCGAAGTCGCTGGCGAAAGCTAGTATTTCATATATGAAGTATTCTGATAGCTAACTGTATGGGAATAATATAGTATTTATGACATTTCCACCTTGCTGAAAAAACATGGTAAAGGCCGGTTGGTTTCCATTCTAAAATATTTTGTGAGAAACTCTTTGAAATTAATATTTTAAACAGTTATGCTATTGTTACAAAACAGAAACCAATGAAACAAACCTTTGTTGTACTTAAATATTTATTTTTATTTATGTATGTATTTGTAATGATAGCATCAATAGAAATACATCATCAGTCTGTGGAAATTTGAATTGTCCAGCTAACACGGTTTATGAGTACAGCTTGTGACATACGGACAGATGGTCCGGGAAATTTATATTTGAAAAGTATTTTTTTCTAAAAGTGAAAAAATATATTCGAGATACTAATAATAAGCCCTTTGACATTATTTTATTTAACTTACTTTCCAAAAGAGGCCAACATGTTTCAAACTCATTTATCACGTTATACGACCTTTAAGGTCACCGACTTACATATGTGTAGCAATTTTCTATTGTATCGGTCGAGTGGTGTGAGGAACTCGGTTGTAGTAAAAGAATAGACAAACAGACAACCGCGTGTGTCTGTAAGGGTTCTGTTTTACTTTTTTTAGTATGAAACTCCAAAAACCTTATCCTTTTACGGGGCGCCGAAGAGGCACGTCATTTTTTTTTATTTTGTGTCGTAGGAATGTGACACACACGCAGTCACAGGCTCTGTCAAAAACCCTCGCTGCCGTAGCAGCAATTCCTGAGACAGGTTCCTGATTAGCCCTCCAACACAATTCCCAGTTTGTTTTTGTTATTCCGTGTATTTATTTTGGGTCAACAACAGTTTTTTTGTTATGCACTGTCCCTGCCCCTTGACAGGCGGCAGAAGCATGTATGGGACTCTCCAAGCGCATATACCCACCTGAAGGCAAATCAAAACGCTGGTGACACTGTCACCCACTTAACGCTCTCCAATACACTCTCACTTTTAGGAGAAAGGCCTGGGTTCCAACCGGGAGTGCTCCACACCCAGCCGCCGTACAGGACAAAGGCCACGTTCGCAACAGAAGAGGCCCGAATGCATCGGAATCTCTCCTCAGTTACTAGAAGACGGGAATGAGGTACCTGCTTAGGATTAGCCTAGGCCGTTGTCCTTATCCGCCTCAGTTATATCTATTCATTGACATTGGAATACTGGAAGTCGGTTGTACAATGTCATATATAACAGCACATCGTCATAAACTTATCCTTTATAGACTAAAATAAGTGAATTTATTAGCCGCCCGCGCTACCTAAAGCGCAGTTAGACTAATTTTAAGTCTGGCTAGGTGCCACTTACAATTATAGAAGGAGTGCCAAAATTCTATAACCGCCACATCCTAAGTCTAGCATCGTAAACATGATTATTTCAGTTTTTGTGACTAATTACATTTAGGTACTTTAAATAATTACACGGTGACTTTATAATTCATAAAAAAATATCTGACATTGTAAATGCCACTATTTACAATTCTATTTAGTTTAGGCACTTTATAAAAATGAATGGGGACAAAATTATAGTTCATAAAATATTATAAACGGACAATATTATGTCTTTAATAATCTTTAATTTGTATTTGATTATATATAAGTGAGTTTAATCACTTGTGTAATTTATATATCAAACTAGTTGTTTACTCGCGTAAATTATAGCCTCTGTCAAGCGCGTGTATGATGCAGCTTCACGTAGGGGATAGAATTTTTTAAATCGATCCATTAATCCCGGAGCCTCTAAAGACAAAAGATTTGATGCAAACAAAAATCAAATCTTTTGTCTTTATAATATTAAGTATAGATAAAATATATATTTTTTGTCAACCAAACTCGAAATTATGGATATATGATTAAATTTCGATGTTTCTTTAACAAAAAAAAAAAAAACATGTGGTAATCTAAATATGCGATCTTTTATTTTGATTAATTATATCAACATTTCATCATGTATTATCTTAAAAAGTATGTATTTTTGATATTATTTAGTTGTTATTAATAAATACTTAGATTTCCGTATGATTATTGTTAACATCCAAATTTAAACAGAGTTATGGTCCATCGATTGAAACTTAATAAATAAAAAGGAGATTTAATCAATAAATTAAAACTCTATTCTTTCATAGGGATGTTTTCTAATAGCTTATAATTGATAGTCACCCAATTTGAATATGAAAATGACTTCTCAACAAAAGTTTGTGTCTGATTCAAAATCTAAAGGGATAGCCACAATTTTTGCATAAAATCTCGCCATTGAGGTTTCTCATTTGGTCGAAGTTTACATCTGCAAATAACTTTTCGTTAAGCGTTCTACATAATAAAGTTAATAGTAGTAATCTACGTTTGGTATCAACGACATTTTATTTAAATAAGTATATACGAACAAAATATATATATTACATAACATCACATAGATTGCTCAGATTCCAAGATGAGTAGCTAATGCATTGTGGAGTAATTGACACAAATTAGACTACAGATCAAGATCCTAGACAGTAAAAGTTCATTTTCTACAATTGACCCGATCGGAATCAAACCTGCGACCTCAGAGATGGTGACACTGAACCGGCATTCGAACTACTCGGCTGCGGAGGTCCTCTTGGTTGTTAAACTGTGAACGATTTTGGATAAGAAAGTAGTAATGTTATTAACAGCTGATTGAAGTGTAAGAAAAAAGAATATTGCACTAAATTAAAACAAAATATATCAGGATAAGGGGAAACTCATGTTCCGTAGAATATCAGTATAATTAAGTACTATATATATCATAAGCTTCATACAGGTTTTTAATAGCAGGAGCTTTTGTTTAGTTCTTTAAATATTTTATATATTTAAGTCCGCAGTTTGGGTCCAGCTAATACTCATAACTTTCTAAAGTTGGCCACATACTCCAGAGAATGTTGACACGGAATATAATTAAAGCTTGCTGCTCAGTGATAATGTAGCAATACACAAGTGTATGAATTTTGGAGATCACTAGATTTTAATTTATAATATAAACGCTTATAATAACAAAGAAAGTTTACGCGATGTATAAGACATATAATATAAGACATCTTAAAGTTTATTTATTTATTGAAGATCACTAACGTAGCAGATATTAATCTATATATAGTATAAATCAAAATTGTTTCCCGCTGTCTGTACGCTGATTTTTCTATTTATAACATATCTAATATGTAGTGTTGATTACATATTATGAAAAAAAAATGTGTCAGATCTACATACTGTTATGATGTGCAATATATTATTCTTAGATATATAGTTAAGAAAAGAGGTTAATATAATTTGAGGCAGTTATTCATAAACAATGAATTTAAATTATCCAATTATGATCCAATAAGAACTTTTTTAAATCAAAATCACTGTTATAATTTGCACTGTGTATGTTCGACCTTGCGTTCTGCGTAAATCGTGTCTGTATTATGAATTCCTAAAAACTGTTTATGAGATGAGTGCGTGATCTCATTTCAGGTTGCCGTTTGGATGAACATACTGCAACAGTGACGGGACGAGAATGGCTGAAAATGGGTAAGAGACCATCGCGTAATCGTGTAATATTTTTATGTTTATATTCAGCATGTTTATTTGGTAAACTTTGTCCTTAAGTGTTTTGACACATCTTAAAATGCCTTAGCGTTTGGTTTAAAGATATTCATTGTTATTTTTATTAGCTTTTTATTAGTAGGAATATGTTATTAATCTGGTAACATATTCTTAGTAGGGTTGGTTTACTTTTAATTAGTTTCTATATAAGCTAATCTTATTTTAGTATGTAGCGAACAGTTTCTACTTGATTTTTTGAAAAAGTAAAGAAAAGAAGGGTATAAAGTAACTAATATAAAAAAAAAACAATCTTAAAGAAAAAAAGCTTAATGAAATCGCTAGATCCAGTATATCCGAAGTTTTAAGCATTTTTTATTATGATAAGTATCAATATAGCAACTGGTCCATGGCATTGTATATGTAAAATTGATCTGTTGTGTTTTTATGGAAGTGTTTTTCATTATATCCGTGGTCAATTTAATTTTCACTACAGATAAAATTTTAAATATAGCACGTTATTAACGTTTGAAAACTATTTGATCTAACGATGAGGCTTATTCGGTATCTGTAAATAGTCTATAAATATTAAACATTTTGGAGCTACAGACGTGATAAGTGTACTAGGAATCATGCATTTGCATATATTTTTTAAGAATTTGATTGTGAATATTTCCTTGTTTGATACACTTTAAAGATTTTCTTAATTGTCATGTATTCTTTTCTTGTAACGTAACATGTCTAGTTATATTTGTATACATATTAATATCGCATTCTAGTAAAACTTATTAACTGTATTTATTTTCAAAAATGAGTGAAATGCACAAATTTCAAGATGCATCTAATAAATCCCATTTCGTTTTTTGTAAAAATTGTCAGTTGACAGGTTTTCGAGCACGGGTGACATTGCAACTAATGTGTCTATAAATTAATGATGAAATTGCTGAAAATTCGGGCGAGCTAATATTATTAATGGGGCCGATGACCCATTCATTTGAATGGGCACCATGCCACCTGGTAAATCATCTAGCTGCACGAACAAAAATGTTTGAATGTTAAAAAATAACCATTACCGAAATTTTTGCCAACCTTTTCTCAGTTCATTGCGTGCCACCATAGATACACGAACTAATTGTGTAGTGTGTCTACTTTTGTGTTTCTACTACAAGTTTTCTGTGTTCTGTGGTAAATCAATGATACAGAGTTTTATGTAGCGTGAAGTTTTGCTAATATGGCTTTTGACTCCAACTGAAAACGGGATCTATAAGTTTTGAGGTATCACAAAAACGGAATGTCGTAGGCATTATTATTAATTTGACTTAATTAATTACTTTTTAATCAGAAACATAAGAAAATATGGCATTTAGTTATGTTTGCAAGGGTGTTGATATGGAGATATAGATTAAATGGTAGCGTCAGCTACTATCAGTGCTTTACGCTTAATATCAATCGCATATCAGATGGTAATTACCAACAAGTTAATGTTTTGAAAGGAACATTCCTAAATAAAAAGAATTTAAATCTCAAGATTCCGTAACTGAAGCGGACTAGGTCATCCGCTGTGTCCACGTATGAGTGTAAAAATAACTGAATTGTTGGCTCTCCTCCAGGTACGGCCCGGTCGCCGGCCACGTAGGCAGAATACCCAACTTCGGAAAAACACAGGTCAATGTGAGTACAGTCTTTTTTATTTTATTAAAATACAAGTATAACTTGATGTGAAATTCTGGATAGAAAAAACTAGCTTAGTTTCATGGTAAGCGCTGTAAGAATTTAGAGATAAAAATATTAATATTTTTTTAAAAGAAGTTAATTCAACATGTGTAAAATTGTGATTAAAAATAAGAAATATTATTATCTCATCAAGGACAGGTTAATATAACAGCTTCTAATAGATACACTGAAAGTAAATATTTTATATGACAGTATAATGCTATTCCTCAGGCCTCAAAGTTAAGTACACCAATCTGAAATTAGCTGATTGTCTTGTCCAATTTAGTGCTGTGTAGTGTATTATGTATTTATTTATTTTTTTATAAATTCCAGCCAATGGGAAGCGTAGAACCACCACCATGTATCCAAAACGCGATGATGACGAAGGATAAGAAACCTTTCACATACACTCCAGGAGGATTAGATTTATCACAGATTCGCACACCAAGTATGGCAAGGAGAATGGCCCGTCAACGTTCTCTTGAGGAACAGGAACAGGCTCAAGGGCAATACGGTGGTGGCAATTACCATCCTCAAGGAGGACCAGCACCCCCACCTCCACCACCACCGAAAGTACCAGCCCCGCCTCCACCACCCCCAATAGTCATCGAAGTGCCAAATTCTAAATCTCCAAAACCTATTGCTCCTGGTGAACGACCTGAGATTGTGATCCCAGAGAATCCCATTGGGATGCTTAGAAAGACTAACAGCCCGTATCACTGGGAGGCCGAAAAAGCTGAAATGCAAAGAATGGGACCCGTACCAAAATTCCAGGAGAAAGTTCCAAGTCCGTTGACTGTCAAAATGCCCCCAGCTAACTTTTCGCAGCAGCCACAAAACTACACGCCACCTGGACAAAATCGTCAAAACTACTCATATGGAAATCAGAATAATTACACGCCTGACAGTCCGATCCATAAACCTGAGGCGCAATATGCTCATCAGAAAGTTGGTTCACCAAATGTAAACGGCTCACCACCTACGAGAGAACTTTTACAGCGGCAAGACTCACAGTTTAATAAGAGTCCACAGCCATTCAATTCTCAGTCACCATTAAATAATGGTAGTCCATTCTCTCCTAGTCCAAATAACAACTGGAGACAGCCAGAGAAAAGAGACTCTCCTGCTAAAAATAACCCAAATTCACCACAATTTCAAAGGGGACCGTTTTCACCAAATGCGCAGCAATATTCACCCAATTACCAAAACCAATCTCCACCATCTAACAGTGGGCCTGTATTCCATACGCTACCGAGAGCTGGTCAAAGAAATCATGATAATTTTGTCAATAATTCTCCTAATCAAAATGCCATTTACAATAATATCAGAGAGACGAGTCCGAAAGTAGATAGTTCAAATACGACACCATGGCGAACAAATACATTGAATAACAGGACGGTAAGAGAACCAGAAAATTTGCAAAATATTTACCACAACAGCCAGAACACAAATCAACAACCAACTTACACTCCCCCATGGAAGACAAATGATACGAATAATAATGAGAATACTTACATTCCCCCATGGGTACAACAAGAGCGTAGAAACTCTGGTAATCAAATAAATAATCAACAATATACTCCCCAATGGGCACAAGATAACAAAAAACCACAAGAAAGCTATCACCCACCATGGCGGTCTCAAGAAAACGAACAAAGACCGCCACCTACTTCCCCTCCAAATAAAATGAATCAGCAAGAACAGCCAAGGTATCAATCAACTATGTCCATACCAGTTACACCAAAGAAACAAAATACGCAACCAGAATACAACAACTCAGTCCCCCAGAAAGAGATTGTCTACGTCAATGAAGAACCTGTCTACTTTAGCCCAGATAGTCCAAAATCTGTTCCTCCATGGGTAAAGAGTCAAAAGGAGAAGACGAAGACTCCTCCTCCGACTTGGTGCCAAAGACCTTTGGACGGCAGAAGGAGTGCTCCTCGTGAGCTTGCCACACCACCTCGTGATACGAATCAAGAACCAGAGTGGGTTAAAAAGAGTAACGAAATGCAAAGGAATGTTCGTGAGGTCATCAGTCCGCCTAAATATCAACAACCTGTGCAACCATCGTGGTCTACACGGCCTTCGGAGAATCGTAAGAGTTTGCCTCGTGATAATGGCCCTCTGTCACCGGGTAGTAGAGTAATCCCTGTACAAATGGAATCTAGTATAGTAAATAGGGATCAAGGTAGACAAGGAAATAATCCTAGAGTAGTGTTTGATATGCAACAGATTCCGAACTCTCAGAGTTTCAATAATGCGCAGGCTCCTTATTCACAGCCGACACAGCGTATCATGAGAGTGTTGTCACCGCAATTAGTAAGATTAGATGATGGCCCGACTCAGCCTGAACTACCCACTCTGAATAGAAACTTCCAAACTAGTCAGGACAATCAGCCGAGGACAAGGATAATTCCGATACAGATTGAAGGTGGCAACGGCGGGGCAAATAAAAGGTAAAAGAGTTTTGTGTATTTTAGCTTTATATGGATCTAACTTTTTGCAAAATCTTCAAATATTTTCCAGGATAAACTTGGTTAAAGTTCATGCCAACGTTTTAAAGGAACGAAATTATGTTACCAAATATTATACATTCTTCATGTGTAAATGATTTAAAAGAGAAATGTCAAATAGAAAGGAGATATTCTATATTTGCGATGCCAATTTCAATTGAAAATATTCTTACTATTATTATATGTCGTTTCAGCTTCGGTGGACGGTTCTAAGGGAGCTTACTATTCACACAGCCAAAGTAAACACATTTTTACGCGTCGGCCCCGGTCGATGAGTCAGTGTGACGCTTGCTTTAAATTTAGCGCTTTGCAAACCAACTGGTTCTAATTCTTATTGCATTAATCGAACACGTAAGCTGTTGCAATTGGCTGTTTATGTTTTGCTAATGTTTCATCGATTAATAAGTTATTACATTAATTGAATTCTAATTAATGGTAATATTTTCGTGACTTTTTTATGTGATTTCAGTTCTTGTGAAGTTGTTTATCGATGTTAGGAAGCTTTTCACTTTCACTCATTCATAATCCATATTTTAATCAAAAGTTAATTATAGTCTGAGATGCCTATTAATCTTATTATATCATTATTAATCGGACAAGAAATGTGATTTACAATAATGCGCTCGGGAACTTTTTTGAAAATTTTGGTTACATAAAGAACAGACTTGGTTTCTTTTTTACATAACTTGTAATAATGTTAACTGATTTCTTATATTTATACTTTTATCTAAGAAGACAGTTTTATTATTTTGAAACTAAGAAAATTCTAATCATACATTATGATCTTCTAGTATTTATTGGTCTAAAAATTTCGAAAAAAAATTTCACTCCGTACAATTAATTAGATTCTTGGAATATTTGTAACTTTATAAGTATTTGTTTTTATTTTGACCATAACATAACATTTGACCATAACTTGAACTAATTAATGTATATTATTAAAATACATTTATGCGTACTTTTCGTTACCAATTACTGTTTCATTAACATCCAAAATATAATAACATTTGAGGTAAATTAAGGAACAAATTTTTTTTGTGGTGTCGCCTAGTTGAGAAGTAGTTGTCTGAAAAAAAAGATGAAATCGTGGACACGGACATCGTTACTCCTGCGTCGTCGCAATCTTTATTCATTTGTTTATGCATCAAGCGTAAGCATTTAAAAATAAAAAGTATATATAAAATATAACCTACCTATTTTCTTCAAATATAACCTAGAAAATTATTGGATGGTGATTAAAAAGTATTCCTGTATTTTACGGTATTGTTAAATGTGTAAATTAAAACAGTTCCAGGGTGTACTATCACAAGTTCACACAAGAGGGTCCTCCACGACAGTCCAAGGCTTTCAAAGTTCTGCAAGTCATCACGGGCACCCAAGACACTGACAACATTCAGGCAATGGAAAATCATCACGGTTTTACTGATCTGTGACCTTAGGTGCAACCAAAGATTTTATTTTGAGAAAAGGACGCTAAATAAGCAGCCGTAAGCAAATGTTTAGCAAAAAAACATCACGTGCGTTTTGTGTAAAGACCATAGGAACAATGTTGATTTTTCTAGGATGTCTAAAGAGGTTTCTATATATGTTAACCAATTTTATATAGTATTATTATGATTGTAAAAGAGTTAAGCAAACTACGAGTATTTGAACTATATGTGATTTTTACATCATGCTGTAGGTAACTGAATCATCATTCTCTGTTAGCTAATATTCAATGTAGCTATTAAGAGCAGTTACAATTTGGCTCTATCGAAAGCGGATTTTCTTGTAATTTGAAGGTAGTTTATCAAGTAAAAATGCACCGTAAATATTCATTGCGACAGTACATAAAAGCCCGAGGAATATCGGTAGCTGATATATTCATGCAAACTGTAGATATTGTATGAAATTTATAGAATGCGTACCTATACGTTAAATATAATAAAGATTCATTGGGAATTTAAAAAAATATTTTTATATCAAAGGAAGGTGCTGGCGTGTAATAATGCTTCGCAACAATGAATGTTTTTTTATTATTGAATTATTCGTATGAGCGTCATTATTAGGGAGAAATGTCAAAGCGTTATATCTCTATAAATGAATCTCTTTCTATCTGTAACTGCTACATATTATAAACTGTTGCTGTGAAACCAATTTGAGTAAGAATGAGACCGAGAGGCCGCTATCTTTAAAAAATATCAGATCCCTCACTGTACAATTATTTCAAATAATGGAACTCTTAAAAGCTTTTGAATAAATAAATTGCTATTATATAAAAGAAAACAAAGGGTTTAAGTAATATTTTTTTTTATATCTATTATATATCTATGTTATTTTTGTTCGATTCATAATTATAATTGATTAGATATTTATTACCTTTTAATATTCGTGGTAGTGTAAGGATTTGGTGCGTGACCGCGATCCACCTAATTAATCACGAAATGAAAAAAGATTCTATCGAAAAACTGGTCTATTAAAGTAATTGTTTTTTCTTAGAAATAAGTAGCGCAGATGTTAGTTTATGGTAACATTTGTTAGCTTTATTTTATCGCTATAATGAGGTAGGCATCTTTGACAAATAAATAAACATGGCAACAAATTAATAAGGAAAAATTTGTCAATTTGTACTAATTAGCAATTGAATTTAAAACGCATCTGTATATTAAAAAACTAATTACAGCGTATAATAATTTAGTAAATAAGATGGAGTATATAATTTATATTTTTTAAATGTAATGTTAATAACCAATTATAATATTTTACTATTGAAAGCTGATTTTACAATAAAATATATATTTGGCAGATGGTTAAGCACTTGATATTACACGTCAAAAAGGGGCTTTTATTTCAAAATATATTTTGAAAAAATTAAGAATGTGATTTTGAAATATTCGTTGTATGTTGTATGTGCTTTCTCTGGTATACGCTATTAATGTAGTTTAGGTAAAAAACAATAATTGGCAAAATATATGTCTTAATATAAAGTGTAACTATTTTGTGATTTTTTAATATGCTCACAACAGCTAGTTTACCAAAGAATTAATTAGTACAATTTAGTATAGAGTATTCTATTTTCAATTATATCATAATGTTAACTTATTATTATACTCTAGAATATAGTAATTTATTATAAAATAAACGAACTAATTATAATTAAGTATTAATATAAACATGTAATATTTATTTTTGTGTGTTATTAATTATTGCTCTGTGATCAATTATATTTTTTTATTTTATCTATATGATATATATATATTTAATGTTTCCAAATATTTCTCACTTTCTAACCATTCATTTGTGTTATATTTATATATTATATTTTTTGTAGTATAATATCTTATAATAAGTATACAAGTTTATTTAAACATGCGTTTATATTGTGATTGTTTTAACAACCTCATCCAAAACCATTGGTTACTAACAAATTAACATTCAATAATTTACGTTAGTGATGTTTCAAAACAGTTTTTGGTTAACCAGATTAATAATATTATTAATTGTTAAATATTTTACAATGATAATAATAATTGTTACATGAGTATAATATAATCCCTTTTACAATATAATTAACGTTTTGTAGATTGGATTCAATATATAAAAAAGATAATTATAAAATTATAATAATTACAATTACCTTTTGTCATTGTAAAATAATATTTTAACAATTACAAAAGCGAAACAGACAAGGGGTGTGGCAATCTAGTCAGTGTGTATTCTAAGTATATAAGTATTTCTCAACTTTATGCCGTATTATATACGTAATATAGTCGAATATTGCTTATTATGTTTAAATAAAAATATAGTTTGTAAGAATAATTTAATTTTTCAAATAAATTTTATGAAACTCGCGTTTTTTTGTTTTAATTAACTTTATAACTTTTTTATTATTTATAAATTAATTATGTTATATAATAATCCAGCATTGAAATGCGCAATAGCTCATTTCCTTGTGTGTTTATATTGCCGATAAAATTTAAAGATTGGTTATCAATTAGTTATATACTAGTAATAAAATCAGCCTCGTACTCAAATTCTAGTACAGCGCCGTCATAACATGGGGCGCCAAACAATTAAATATAAATATATGTCACCGGAAAATAAAAAGAACCGTAAATGGATAAATTTCCTAAGAAATTTATAAACTATCGTAGGATTCTAAAAGTATTATTTTACGCCTACATTTTTGTAAATTAAAAATAAGTAAGCAAAACATACGCTACTTGCGCTCTGATTGGTTTGTGGCACATCTGTTTTATTATCTTTGTCGACCAGTCTGTGGCAACGTAATCTGTGACATTTGTATTTTATAAGTGGCACTTTAACATCAAATAGTCTGAAAGTAAACTCATAACTGTGAACACGTTTATTCAGTTTACCGACTTTTCGTATAAATAGAGTCAGATAGTAAACTTACCAATAAGTTAAATATCAACCTATATACTAATTAATAAATATAAACATTTCGGTAAAGGTTAAATAAGTCACGTGTAACTTATCCTTCCTCTCCATCGCTATTGTTCGCCACAGAACATAAAAAAACCAGTTTGTGCTCGTGTGTTTTTGTTAAGTTTTTAATGTTGTAACTATAACAATAGTAGTATTAAGAAGAGACCTAGAAGCTGCGGACAGCCAGTATGGCGAATATAGTGCGGATACAAGTATTGCATCCATCAACATCAACTAATCATAGAACAATGTATTATTTGCCGTATTTCAAAGAAGCGTAAACTTAAAAGCTCTTCTGTGATTGGTCGAATCGTTCAGAAACTTACGAATAGATATACGTTAGTTTATAAATTTACCACGAGAAGTCGCAAATTGATAAATTTACGGAAATATGAGCGTAATATATTATAATTTATCTCATGTTTAGAATCATACGAAAGTTTATAAATTTCTTAGCAAATTTATCAATTTGCGGTTCTTGTTATTTTCCGGTGACATATATTAGGTCCTTACATATGAAATTGGTGTTTGGTATGGGAGGAACAAAAAGTCGAATATATTTTAATATAATATATTTATTTAATCAAAGTATAAACCATTTTTAGTAGTTCATTGATCCCCTTACTAAAAAAACCATTCGGACGGGAATCGATAAAATCTTTGAAGGTGATTTGCACTGCCCCATCGGAGTTGAATTTTTTTCCTTGCAAGAAGTTATCCAAATTTCGAAAAAAATGGTAATCTGTTGGAGCATTGTCCGGAGAGTACGGTGGATGTTAGACATTTCAATTGAAGCTCTTCTAATTTGGTAGCCGTCTGTTGTGCAGTGTGTGGTCTAGCGTTGTTTTGAAGGAGCAGTGGCGAAGAGCGATTGACCAGCCTCGGTTGTTTAACAGCTAGTTTTTCCAGCATGGTTTGCAATTGCTCAGAATAAAAGTCTGCCGTAATCGTCTGGCCAGATTTAAGTGAACTGTAATGAACGACACCGGTACTAGTCCACCAAACGCTTACAAGTAACTATTTTGGGATCCATTTGCGCTTTGGGCAGAATTTGGCTGGCATGCCAGGGTCCAACGAATTCATCACAGGTAATGATTCGATTTAAAAACCCTTAATTATTGTGCCGGTTAAGTTATGTAACGCAGCAGTCGAAGCGCGTTTGCCGGTTTGCTTCACTCAATTCGTGAGGTACCCGCCTTTCAAGCTTTTTAATCTTTCCAATTTGCTTTAAGTGGATTAAAACAGTTTTATCACTAATACCGCAGCCACCAAAGCCGTCTAGAGGGCTATTCAGAAGGTCGAAATTTCCAGAACGAAAACGTTGGAACCGAAAACGCACTGTGGTTTCTTTTGCGACAGAACCACCATACACATCATTAACTCTTCGAGCCGTTTCCGCAGCACTGGTACCGCGGTGGAACTCGTACTCGTAAATAACACGATATTTCAAGTTTTCCATTTTTTATACTGGGTGACGTAAATAGGACAAACAGAAGAAAAAAAAAACAAATTAATGCCGCCTAACGAAACACAAATACATGTGTAAATGGCTGTATAAATTTGAATGTGGAATTCCCAACCAAGGAGGAGAAACTTGTGATTAAAGTGGCCAGTACGACAAAACACCAGTTTCATATGTGAGAACCTAAAATATAATTAATTTGTTCATAATTATTTTGTGTTAAAATTTCGGATAACATCATAATGCTCGTAGCCATACCAAAAGATTCCTAGAAGCCTGATGTTTGCAGCTTAGCCCGTGTAACCAGAATATGGTAAATTTTTAATAAATTAGAATATCAACGGGTGGACTGATGGCACAATTAGAACTGTATTATAGTTAAATCCAATCGATTTATAGTTATTAAAGACGGCGTATTCCGACATGTCGCTACTGAATAGTACAGTGGCACAACTCTAAAACCATTATTTCGAGAAATATTTTGAGCAAAATTTATGTACATGCGATTTCCAATTATTATAATGATCAAATATAATGCCCAAAAATACAGTTTCTTCTACTCTAACGACAGCCCTATTCTCATATTACATTACTATTATAGGCTTGAAACTCTATAAAATTAGTCTCGTTTAAATTGATTGTAAGATTATTCCTTTCAAGCCAACTAATTAATCTCGAAGAGCATTGTTTCCCCCTTCCTAGAGTGTAGTTTTATTAGTTCAATTAATTGAAATTATGGCGTGATTTGCAAATAATAGACACTTATGTTTCGTTGTTAAATCGTTAATATAAAGAAGAAAGAGTAATGGTCCCAAGACACTCCCCTAAGGAATTCCGAAAGTGTTTAGACGATATTGAGAACGGAAGGTACTTTTTGATGAGCTCATTATATTATTTATTCTTATTGCCTGTTTTTTAAGTAACTTCTTATCCAGTCAGATGCTTTACCTCTAATTCCGTAACTTTCCAATTTCTGGAGTAGAATTTCATGAGAAACAAAAACATATCTAGAAATAATGCGATTATGGGCATAATTTATCTAAACATTCCATAAATAATATTTACAAGTGAGAAACAGGCGTGAACAGTTGAGCTGTTTTTCCTAAATCCAAATTGTTCTGGTTTTAGTATTTTATTAGTATTAAGAGAGTCAATCAATCTGGACAGCATTATTTTTTCAAGGACTTTTGAAAGTATTGGAATCAACGTAACCGGGCTATAATAAGTTATTCCCTTTTTTACGAGTATATTGGCTTGAATACGGAATATTTGAGACGATCAGGGAGTGTGCCCTTTAAAAAAGATGTATTTATTAATGATATACGCTAATTTCCAAAGCACATAATTTTAACAATCTAGTATTTATATTGTCATATCCAGTTGAATTGGATTGTTTAAGAGTTTTTATCATGTCAAATACGTCTTGCGGAGTTACTGGATATAGATATATTGTTTTATATAGTGATATCAATTGATATCGGGACTAAGTGATATTTTTAATAAAATATATAAAGTAATTGTTAAAAATGTTAGAGATTTCTTGGGGATGAGTATATTTTTTCCATTCTCTTTCTATATCGTTTATTTCAGATTTATTATTGATTATTCGTTAAAATGCTTTTTAATAGG